GCAACCACGCGGGCCGGGTGGTGCGTCGGTAGCCAATGGGCCCAGGCTGACTTGCGCCACAGATCGCTCCTGCCCAGAGCTGCAGCTCGGAGCCTCTTCCCCTTAGTTCATGCTCCGAAACACTTTGTTGATGAGTCCGAGTTAGAGCGTTTAAGTACGCTGCTCACCCTTGTCTCAGTTTTGGCATTTTCCTCACCAGAGCACCAGTAACAAATAATGCGGTCGCTGCTTTATTAGTACACTTAGATAACGAAGCAGCCCATAGCGGGGCTGGCAATCTGTGCCCGGCGCTCTCGGCCCCGCTGGCACTCAGAGGTTACGTTGAAGAGTTCTGCAGGCTCCAAGACGGCATAAATTCAGGACGATAGGGGACATTAATCCCTTGGAAGTGGAAGCAGCTGCCAGCATCTGCTCAAACACCAGCCCAGCTCCATCTCTCCAACAAAGCCACTCGTGGTAGTTCACCCAGACCCCTCACTCGGCCTCGGCTGGTCAGCAGCGGCCTAAAGCTAGGAAACTACGAAAAAGTGTATGGCGATGCCGAGAGCCCTCTTCCCAAGGGCTGGAGGATTACACTGCAAGGAGACGAGTCTATGCCATAGGAAAAATACATCATAATCCAAAGTAAAATGCTGTTTGGATAAATATCATTAATACATACATTGCATTCCCACCACTATTCTCCGAGTAAATGTGCTTCACCAGCAACGCTCTGACGTGTCTTGCTCCCGGCAACAAATCTTTGCTCACGGTGAAGCTGGACGGCGACTGTACTGAACTCTGTATCTGTTCACCGGGACCCCGTGGACGTTCACCGTCTCACAGGTTGTTTTACAGGGCACCATCTCCTCGTCTTCGTCGCCCATTAGCCAGTCTTGAACCACATCCACTGCCTCCATGGTGACGTTCTCCTCCAGCCACCTGTTGTGCCACTCTTCAAACTGCTGGTGGTGCTTGAGCAGCACCATGGGCTGGACCTGAAAGCAGGACAGTAGAGATCACCAAGAGGCTTCTGGGGCAGGAGCCAAAACTCTCACCTCTTTGTACACCCGAGCTGCGCGTGCTTTACGACACAACACAAACAGCGGAACAGGAAACCGCATACCTGCATTTCAAGATCTCTATTTCTTAATGTTTGCCACTCCCCCTTAAAATTTGCACGGTAAAGAAAAGGCTGCTAAACTAAACCAAAGTACAGAGCATTTACCAGCTCTCCTCCGTGTTTCATCCAACACAGAGTAGTAACTTCTGGGTGCAGCTTGCAGGAATTCAGCCACAAGACTTCGTATCGGTACCTGTCTTTTGGCTCACATCCTCAACCTCTGCTACTGCCTGAGCTGCGGAGAGAGTAATAGGAGATGCACCTGCTTGGCTCGGCAGAGAGCTCCCCGCCTGTACATGTAATCCTCCGAGTTCATGATGAACATCATTTTGTGGGTGTTGAGTTTGAACCGGCAGTCCACGTTGCAGGCACTTTCCACCCCAATCAGCCTCTTCCAGGAGCTCTTCACTTCGCTGCGCAGAGCTCTCACTTGCTTACATTGCCACTTGCGAAACTTTTTGAGGTTTCTAGAACAAAACAAGGATTAAAAAGCCGGCGTCACGCTTGGTTATCCTCTCTCGTAAGCCAGTAGAGCTGACAGCACGAGTAATACCTTTCTATTTCCACATTTAGTTTTCAGACTGTCTCTAGGATCTTCTTCCACACACTGATGAAACGGGAACGAATTAGACCTCAAATTCTTCCCACAGGGAACCGCTCAGACAGTTCCTTTCCAAACACCGTTTCGTGAACAAATTCCAGTGCAGTGGTGATAATTATTTTTTCCAGCGTTCTTACACAGTGCACTGGCCCACAGCCTACAGCTGCCCCTCTGCATTTCCCTTCAAGGGGCTGCTTGTAGGGCACACCGCCCAAAATCGCTGCTGCCTGGGCGGCGAGGAAGCAGTACGAGCTGCTTCAGGTGTGACTCAGGAGAGGGAGCGTGCTCACCTTTGCAGAAAGACCGGTTTCAGTAAGAAGCCATCATTCTGGTTGTTCAGAGCTCCTTCCACCCCGACGTACTGCTCCATGTAGTTAGCCAGGTGCTACACAAGCAAGACCAATTCCAAGTCAGATTTCACTCTCATCAAGACAAACATCACTGCAAAGAACTGGTTTACTTCCAGGCTGCTTTTTACGAAGGTGACTTATGCTGAAACTCCTTCACTAACGTACCCATTTCTGTCAGTGACCACAGCCCCACACGCAATCTTCCCACCTCCCAGGTAAAATTCTCCTCCTGGCAAAGTCTCACAGTTTGGAATAGGAAAGCAGGGAAGCTCAGACAGCTGCTTTGTCTGTGGTTCAGCGCACTCCATGGTCACTCTGACATTACCTGCACCTCCACAGGATCTTCTGTCTGGGTTTCTTCTGTATCCAGAAGCTCAATGGTCATGATCACCTGTCCCTTCCTCTGAAGAAACATTACCTGCAACAAAGTTACAGGCACAAGGTATTGGCCACATGTTTTCACAATAAAATGCTGTATATTCATAACAAAGCCATTTGGACAACATGAGCCAGGAGAGGAGTAAGCAAGAGGGCTTCTCAGTGAGCTGCTGGGCCACTCTGCCGCTGTGCTCTGCTTTTGGTACCGTCTCTCCGTATTGCTCTCTCACCACTGTGGCCCTGGAGCTTCCAAATGCCTTTCTCCCAGGTGAAGTGCCACAGGTATGTTGGGAAGAGCTCTGGCAGCAAGTTCTTACCTTGAAACAGTTCTCGTCTGCCATGCAGCGTTCAGCCTTCCACTGGTAGCTGGTCTCCTTGGCCGCGCGGACACACCGAGAGGATAAGTTACCTCCAGCAGCACCTCGCTTCCTTTCGTTCAAGTAGAGCTCAACAACCTTCAAGCAGATGTCATCGCTCACTAGATGGTGAAGCTTCCATGAAAAAAGGGGGAATTCAGTCAGAAAGACTGGGCCAAGAGTTACCTCTAGTATGTTATAAGAGCAAAAACCCAGCACAGCATCACCTCAGGTGAAGTACCAAGGCTTTCACTCCAGAGACTTCACACATTTCACTGTTTATCATTGCTTTGCAATAAAAAGAGCAGAGAAGAGCAAGGAACTGATGGGCCCTAACTGTAACAAAACTACAACTAGAAGACACATTGGAGTAAAAGGACTGGCATCTCTTGTGGCTTTGGCAGGGGCTTTTGTGCTTTTTTGGTTTTTTTTCCTTAGATGTATTTGGAAATGACAGAATTTTGAACAGACTGGAACTTTAAAAACATTGGAAAAGGCGAGGAAGGGTAAATCCCTTAAGGTGGTCCCCGTACTGAAGCTGAACTTTTGTTAGACCATTTCCCCTACACACGTAACTGCTCTACGAATTTGCCTTAAGTTTAGTGAGTCCTTGCACTACTGGGTACTGTGAGAAACCTCTGTCTATAGAAGAGAAATGTGCGGCCCCAAAAACACGGCACAGCCATCCGAGTAGTTACCTGGCGGACAATATTCTGCACCAGTTTGTCCATAGTAAAGCCAATATAGGCATGGATAGTGAACATCTCCCTCAGAGTGTCCTCGTACTGCGTCGGGTCAATATTCCCATCCAGCAGACTCCTCACCATGTCCAGGAACGCGGGGTAGTACTCCTCCAGCTCCACCTCACCTGGGCAGGGAAAAAGCGCAGTCACTTAAGGCAGGGAAGAGGCAGAGTGAGGTCAAGAGACACAAGGGACAGCGCTGCTCAGTCAGTACCGAGAACATGCTTACAGACAGTTCTTTTTCTCTCGTGCACTTCCACGACTGCCTCATGTAGTTAGCTATTGTCGTGGAGCTGTTTACATTTTAAATCAAAGTAATAGATTAACACAACGAGACACCTGAGAACATCCGACGACAGTGGGCTGGTGTGAAGCCCCCGCGAACCACACGTGAGAGCTCTCAGAAGACCCATCACCAACCAGCGATCCTGCTAAATGAGCTGTATCCCCAAATCACAAATACAGTGGTGGTTTGCACCTCTAATCAGATACATACAGTCATGCACGAGCAACCAGAGCATTAAGAACGGACTATGTCCCGGATTATTCTTACTTGGCTGCTTCAGTCTTAGTTCCATGGCTGGATCATTGGTTTTTTCTTTTCTTCCCTCGCAAAGGAGTTTCTCTCTTTCTTTTTCAGTCCGGTATTCTAGAAGCTGCTTCTGAGCCTGACGATAAATCTTTAGGAGCCTTGAGCACAGAGTCTGGTGAAGGCGGAGGAAGAAATACCAATTATTATTGACAAAGAATAGACTGTAAACGTCATCCAGAGTGTTGTGGGGCTCAGCAGCTGTAACATCGCAGAAGGTGGCTTTTGCCTCCAAAGGACTGTTTGGAGGCCCAGGCACGTGTTTTTTCCGTAGCTCGGGTGTATCCAGGTTCTGCCCGTGATGGTTTTCTCTGTCCTCATCTGTTGATTCTTCAGAAATACTGTGCTCAGGGGGCTGAGAGAAAAACAGCTCCGGTATGAAGTGATGCACTATCTGCCGGATGGTTGCTTGATCCTCCTTTTGGATGGTCGGCTGCCTTTTCACATAATAGCTGATAAGAGACGCCGCATCTTCCAAAATCTGCTTGTCTTCATAGATGAAGATAAGATGAGGCTCGTTTGTGGATGAACTTCTCCCCTCTGAATGCTGCTCCTGATGCTGTAATCAAGAGAAAAATAGATAAAGATCCTTCCAATCCATGCTCAAGAGCCATTCCTGCCAGAAGAAATAAGCCAGTACTAGCGCTGTGCTTAGGACGGTCGTTTCCGACTGAGAACTCTTCAGAACGCTCCCGCTTCAGCAAGGTCCCGGGTGCTACGTAAACATCTAGATGGCCCTACAAAGGACGGACACACCCGATGGATGATTCAGTAGCATACGCACCTCGTCATAGACGCTCTCAATTTCGTAGAGCGCAAAGCTTTGGTGTCGTTCTGTTTGAAGTTGACAGCCTGGTGGTCAAGGGACTTCAGGTAGGCTTTCTCGTACTGCTCCCGCCAAATTTTATTGAAGCCCTGCTGGGCCTCCCGCCACTCCTCCTCTTTTGCTTTCAACCTGCATAAATGTACAACCTGCCTCAGTTCAAAAAGGCAGCCACAGAATTACACACAAAGCATTTTTAATGCAGCCAAGAGTGATGCACCAAAGACTTTTCAGTGTTCCTGGGAGCAGGAAGTAAATTTTGCAAAGGCAGCACCAGTGAAGATGAGTTGTCCTCTTGAACAACATCTATAAAAATCATTGTTTAAAAATGCTTTAGAAATCTTTTATCGGTTTCTTAAAGGTGAACAGAATGGGAATTACCTCTTAAGAACAACAGGAACTGCAGTAACTGGGTTCTTCTTAAGACTTTCAATGATCTCTGGTGCTTTATCGCCATAGATGCGATAGATGGCTCTACGCTGGATCACTTCTGATGTTCCTCCCAAGCAATCATCCAGCCGAAATTTCTCCTGATCCTCTTGAGTCAGGCGTGACAGCTTTTTCTGCACGCTCTCCAGCACACGTATTGTGGCTAAATTGGTCTCCAGGACAACATCCAACTGTGAAGAGTTCGCAAAAGACCCAGGGTAAGAACAGGTACGGCAGGAAAATGGAGCCAGCAGTGCCTGGCTTGTGGCATGGGTGGAGCTAAGAAGCATCAACAAGGTTTCTCACTGGAAAATACACCTCCACCACTTCTCCCAAGGTAAGGTGCTTTGCAGAACTGGATCCATGCCCAGAAAGAACTACTAAACTCCAAGCAAGTGGAAAGCACCAAAAGCCAGCTCAAACCAACGAGCATTAATAGAATTTCCAGTAATTGGCCCCCAATTAATTCAGTCAAAACGCTCCAGAGCTAGAAGTTCTGCTTTCTGAGGACACAGACAGGTAGAAAGGAAGCTCAGTAGCAGAAGTACCTCAAACCGCTCATCTTCACAGCGGTGCAACTGCTCCTCATAGGGAGTCTTCTTGGAGCTGACAAAAGTGGAGTCCTCGGACCAGGATGGAAATGAAACCCAGGTATCATTTAACACCTGCAACACGGCAAAGACACGACATTGAACGGACCCTCAAGAGCCCAGAGCTGCTCTCGTGGGGTCTGATACTCCTCTGCTTCATTTTTGGCACAGTCCTTCCCCGAGTTTCTATTGGGAGTTTCAGACTTAGTTCACAAGTTGCTGTCGTGCCTGCTCCTCAGAATATCAGAGGTCAGGAGACAAACTGTTTCTAGAGGCCACGACAGCCCACTGCTAGAAAACTAACTTCAGGCTATTTACTCTTCTTTCCTGTCTACAGGAATAAATCTGCGTATGCACACAGGCTAAAAGGGCAAGACATTAAAGTGAACGACATGATTTGAGATGGGTTTAGATAAAATCACTAAAGAGCAGACAGACACTCTTATTTCAATAACTTGGACGAACAACTGATGTGAGATTGAGATCAACTGATCAGCGTTAATGAGGGGAATCCGCATGCAAAAGCTGTGGCACCAACGACCCCACTTGGGAGTTCGGGAAGTGCAGCCGTGTTCAGGGAGCGAACAGGTTGACCCCAAAGTACCTCCTTGCAAATGGCTGTTCTGCCACTGCACTTGGGCTGCTGGTAGGTTTTGGGGAGAGCCCGGTAACTCGACCCGATGCGTTTGCAGGAAGCATAATCAATTTCCCGACTCATTCCATCCCCAGATCGGTCGCTCAGCGGAGAAGCAAATGAAAGCTCTTTCACACCAAGAAAGGACTTGAACTGTGCAAAGAGTTCTGGGAATTTCCTTCAAAAACACAAGTAAGAATATTTTGTTATTTCACTCTGACAGTTTCCGGGCAGCTAGTGCGTGCCAAAAAAGGGGAGAAAATTCAAACAAATCTAGCATTGCAGCGAGAAATCTTTCACCACTGTTTTACCTCTGTTATCATTCTCTCTGAATCACTTTAGGGTTTTTTTAACTTAAGGCAGGAGAACTTCCCTTCACAACTTCACGAGTACTCCCCTTAACCGAGTCACTGATCCTTGCCGCGTGACTCGCGCTCTTCTGTTGGAAGCCAAACAGCCTGAGCAGCTCACATCAGAGCTCAAACTATTTATCCTTTTCACACCTCTGTTCTGAAGTTTCACGTTTATACTTGTGTTATATTTTAAGAGATTAGAACAGGGAGTGTGACCAGAGACCGCCCTCCAGAATTCACGAGATTCTCTGCCCCAGGGATTCACTATAACATGCAGTAGCCTACTGGGGGTGAGGCTTTCAACTGGATGCACAGAGGAAAATATCCTCCGCAAAACACTCTTTAAGAGCTGTGTGGATGCGTTAAAAGATTCGGATGTTACTATTCCTCTTCTCAGATTAGCCTTCAATTTCTTGCATGCTACCTAGGAGGCATTTCTTAGGTTAAATCCAAAAGTTCACATTGTCCACCAGTAAGTAACAGAGTAAGACCTAAAAAGTGTGACCCAGCAGAGAAGGCAGGCAGTAACTTACCCTAAAAACGGTGTCACTAGTTGGAGCAGCTCAGAGCCAGAGACCAGCTCCTGGTTGAAGAGAGCAATGCAACGGAGAAAATTTTCGTAGACTTCCTGACTCTTTAGCACTCTACGCACCTAAAGCACAGTTTGGGGAAGACACCATCAGATCACTTGAACACCAGATTTATTTAGTTCGTATTCTAAGTAGTCTGACCCACAGGTACAGTGACAAACTGCCAGCTACGCCGCAACATAAAAAGAGAATATGCACAAAAATGTCCAGTTTCAAACAACGGTCTAGTTACTACAGATGGTACCATGAGGAAATGCCACTGAAAAATAGAGAAAACCACGTCTGTAAGAGACAAGTGTTGAGGGAAAGGTTAATTATCAGTTTCTGTTCATCTGCCAAGCCCACCTATTTTCTCTTTTCTTGGCCCGTCCTTCTCTACCACTTGAAGAGTCAGACAGTTGCTAAGTGCTAACACACAGATTGTACAGAAAACCAACCGACTAATAACCACATAAATGGAAGAAAGTAAATCCACAGAACAGGAGACAAGAGCCCAAATACTGACCTTGTCGAAGAAGGAAAACTCTTGCAGTGTTCCGTATTTTCCCACTGTCGCCACTGACAGATCTTTGGTACCTCGCAGCTTCATTTTCTTCTGGTAAAAGAACAAGCAGTTATGCTTAAAATGTTGTGACTCAAGTGCTATCAAATCCTACCGTGCTGACACGGAACAGCTCCCTGCAAAGGCTGGAACTCCCTATTCCCAAACCTCCCCAGCAATCTCTAGCAAATGACTCCCGGCTAAGAAGAAGCAGCAAGAAAAAAGGATCACTTGGGAAAGAATTCCAAAGAAAAAGACTTCTTGTAGAAACAATAAATTGTCTCTTTCTAAGGCCGATACCTAGTACAGAAGGTCTTTGTATTTAGTAGTCAGCGTGTTACCACACACTGAAGCATACTTTCAAAATTCCCTTTCTATAGTAATTATTATTTTTTAAATAACTTCAAAACTTCTTTTCTTGTACCTAACACGTACATACCTCAAAGACACTACTCACTGCAACTTTATCTAAGCAATTACGTGAACGTGACGAGTACTATCAGGCTATTCTAAGTTTTCTCTGGCTAAAAGATACCTTTGCTGGGCCAGAAACAGGACGCAGCAGCAGCGGTCTGGATCGCTTTTTGCTGTGTTCCAGATTCTTCTCATGCTCAGTTTTCTGGACGCTGTTCACTTCACATGGTCCATTTCCTGTGAACTGAGGTAAATAATCAGTGACTTCAATGCTCTCGACTGGCCCAAAGCAAAAATCTTATCTATCTGAACAGGACCCAGAGCATGTAGTTCTGTTCTGCGGAATTCTAAACAGGAGGAGGAGCAAAGTTCATCTCCTGGATGTGTTTTCTCGTAAGATTTTGCATTCCTAATGCTTCAGTATTCAGACAAATAGAGAGTATTCAACATGCTGCCTTGTCCTAAGCGTACACGTACCAACGACCTTTTAGCCTCGGGGAGGAACTGTCCAAACTCGGAAAGCAGATCCTCCTGTCCCCGGAACAGATTTGCTACTTCAGTGAACACTTCTTCCTCCGACATGCCCCGAAAGGGTCGGCCTTTAGTGTTCAGCTGTTCCTTCTGAAAAGACACAGATGTTGGCACCAAATCCATACCTCACCCAGCAAAAAACCTCAACAACTCAGCCAAAAACTTCACACTACACATACCTGAAACAACTGCCCGATAGCCCAAGGTTCTTAGAGCGCAGCCTTTCACAGAGAATACCGTTAAACCAACTGAAGGTTATTAGAGACAGATGGAGATATAACCCCTTTCCACCCCAACTCTGGGAAGTTCTACAACTTTACACTTTTGTCGTTTCATGTGAAGATCTAGGAGGCAACTGCTGGGCAAAATCTAGTGCTTGGGCACTGTTTAAGCCTGTTCCACGGGCAGACATTTCGCGCCAAGCCAAAACTGCCGATACTGAAGACTTACCTGGTAAGTATGAAGAATTTCTAAAAAGGATCTGTAAATTTCTGGATGGTCAAGGAAACGCGTTTTGATCTTATTCACGTAACTGATAGCGTTATTGAACTCGACAGAATCGGACTCCAAAGGAATCTGGGATTTATCTTCTTTGTAGGGAAGCTGCTGCCTAAACTCCTCGGAACAGTCACTGTGATTGTGCGAGTTCTCCTGGGAGTAATGCAACAGGAGCCCGCTGCCAGGGAGAGCGCTGGGGACCGGCTCTGAGGGCACCTAGTGGCACAAGACCCACAAGACAGTGACTCGTACGGAAACCTGCAAGTTCAACAACAATCCAGCACCAGGATTTTCAAGCTCTTTAGCTATTCGGTTAAAAAATTCCTGTACGTCGGATCTGGCTTATGAACCATCTGACTCATCGCTGCTTCTGACTGTCAGCGCGTCATCCACCGCGCTCACAGGAGCGTACGACAAAGGGCACCGCTCCCTCTGCTACTGCTGTTTTATTTCAGAGGAACTGTCAGTTTTAAGAAACATATTAAAACAGAAGGCTCTTAAAGATGTTAAATTTCTAAGTAACAGAGAGATCTAAGGGAACTGAGATCTTGAAAACTTTTACTGCTACTAACGAAGAGTTAAACCACAGGTTTAGCAGCAGAGTTCAGGTAACAGCTCTGCTTCAGCCTCCACAACCACACAACAACAACAGAGAAACAAAGTCCGATATGTACCCATGTGAATTACAGCAGATGTCTTTCTAAGCTAAACTAACGTGTGGTTTGAGAATAAATACTTACATTTATATTACACTCATTATCATAGACTTTGAAAACCATATAAAAACTTTATCGACGTGCAATACGCTTAAATCCACACAGCCCGAAGTGTGCAAGGGACGCGTATAGCGACCCATAGCAGAATTTATTTAGAGATTATGAACTCTGGAACCTACCTGACTATTCAAAGGTGACTGTATACTTAACTTCCCATTCTTTGGAATTTCTATCCTGTAGCCCAGAGGGAGGAAAGCGTTGAATCCTACAATGAGGTCGGGATGCTCATGGAAAAGCTGTGAAACGCGTCGGATTACTCCAGGTGTGTCAATGCTAAAATGGAGAAGAGTTTGTTACTTGTGTTCGAATCTGAAATACAAGTTTAGCCTAGGAAATAATAGAGGTATGTGAAGCATCTGCCTTCTTAGACCCGTAATTTTTAACAAGTCCGGCAACCTCAGACCTAGAAATTTGCCCAAGCTGAGGGAATGAGGTTTATCCACAGAGAGGACCCAGAATGGGCAAGACAGCCGTCACCTCGAGGGCTGGCAGCTCACAGAAGGGCTCTGCACTCAAACTTCTTCACTTATGTTCAAGATCTACGTTTCAGAGCAGGAAGTAAAAATAGATTCGCCGTTCCCTGTGGATTTTGTCACTGTAAAATGACGGAATGGACAGAACCTCCACCTCCATGTCTGCACTACTGAGGGCCAGGCCAGCAGGGCAGGAAGACGGGGTGAGGGGAGACCCTGCAAAGGCCGAGAGACCCCGGCAAAGGCTGAGCATCTCAGCGGAGCAGCCCTGGGGCGCAGGGCCTGGCCTTTACCTCTGGCTCTTGAACTCCTTCATGATCTCCAGGAAGCCGTTGTAAGTGGCGGGGTCGCTGCCAAAGCGGATCTTCACCTGATCCAGGTAGGACAGAGCATCCTCCACCTGCAAGGAGAGATTGCGGGTGAGGCCCAGAAAGGGGGAGC